GCGCATAGAACAGTAGCAACAATAGTGGCTGCGGTTGCGTTATGCCTCCACTAGATGGAGCTACACTAAAGGGAATACAATACAATACAGCAATATTTATAACGAGCTTTCACAACCGCTGCAGCTGCAACAAAGCGCTTTACACAACATTTAAAATACTACGTCGAAGAAATCAGAATATTGATCCACATATAAGGTGCATCAGATTATAAGGCGCACTGTCAGCTTTTGAGGAAGTTACATGCTTTTAAGTGCACAAGTTGTCATTAAAAAAAAAAAAAATCACATGTAACGTACATGAAAAGCCGACATAATTTAACAAATTCCACATTCTCCCTCATGACTTCGCAAGGAGAAACTATTTTTACAACATTGACAAGATTCAAATTGCTCACAACGTACATAGAGTAGAAGTTCTGCAAATGGCTGTTGCTAAAGCTAGCACGCTAATGTGGCTAGCTGATCCGCAACCATACGGGTTGCAGCATATGAGAACAGATCAGGTACTTTTCATCATTCGCTCAGTGCTGAGAAAAACATCAATATGCTAAGCAATAAGTTATAAGGCAGCTCTTAATTTTCGCTGGTCCGATGAGACCGCACCAGAAAGAGGAAATGTAACACTGCGCGACAACTTCTTATATGTAATTTATAATTTGATACATTTGTAACATTAGACATTAAATATCACATTGGAATTAAAGAACCCCCCCTTGGATTTTGGATCTTTGTCATCTTGGACTCATTTGTACTGTGCTGGTATAAATTATTGTCGGTGTCCTTTAAACTACGACAACAAACAAGACATCCTACCCCTCGCTCGGTTCACTGAAAAAAATAAAAAATAAAATAATTTGCCCGTCTTGAACGACGCTCGATACAACCACGTGCCCTCGCCCACCTCCCCGCCATGCTAGCTGATTGCGGGTAGAAAGTGCTTCACGATTACACGTTGTGTAGTGCAAAGCAGCAGGATCCTCCAATCCAGGAGGAAGAAACCTTCAGTAGTCATCGCCTTTGCGAAAATTGGTCGACTTTAATTGCTTTCTAATTATTCCGTTTTCTTTTCAAAACTTCGCTCAGCAATACAGCTGTCAAAAGTCCCCGAAAAGTAAAACACATCATTCTCCAGGAAAAGGAGGAATGACTGGAGAGATGTACTGGCAAATTATTCACACTTTTAATGAGACTGTGGGTTGCATCGAGTCTTTGACATCAGAGAAGCTGTAAGCCTGTTGCGGGGGGCCCACCGCTCCCCCTCAACCCGCCTCCCTACACACCCAATGTTATCCCACTGATTTGCTACAGGACTTCATTGTTTTTTTTTTACATTGAAAGGAACAGCACAAAATGTCCAAAGCTTTTTTTTTTTTTTTTTTTCCTGTCAACTTTTCAAAGTCACCGTCAAATTCTCGAGGAGAAAATGAAAGCAATCATCCGACCTCCCGTTGTTGCCAGGCAATTAGCAAAGAAGCACAAAAGGTCTGGAAACAAGTCAAGGAAAGTCAACACTACGGGTCCTCTACTTGGCGACATGGCGTTACCTTACACTGCCGTGACTTCTCGACATTGTCATTCTAAATTCTTTCAATGAGGCTAATGTGCCGAGGGACTTGCATATTCTTCCTCTATTCATCCATTGTACCTAAAACATGGCCAAAAGCGAAATTGTCATCGGGCTCACAGACTGCTTGCATTGATGACAAAAAGGGGTGCGGGGGGGCTGTGTTGAGTGTTGCGTGATTGCAGATGGAAAGTTGGAACAAATTTGAAAGCATGACTTTTTGAAACGGCGGTAGACTTTGAAACTGGGTACCTGCCCGTGCCTTCGATGTCAACTGAAGTCTCCGTCATAGTACAGCTGACTCGGCTTCATTGGCTTCAAGTGAAAGACAATGTTTGGAAAAAACAGCAAGAGGGACGTTTGGAGGTTTTAGCGCATGCAAGTTAGCCCACCTCCAACCCAGATTAGGTTACCATGATGACTAGGTTTGTCTAAGGCTGCACTTTCACTCATCAGGCCCCCTCACCCCCCACTGAAAAAAACCCTAAAACACCCATTTTCCCTCGACGAGGCAGCACTTCATCACCAATCCGCTGAATTCCACTCGTCAATTAGCGGGGCGGTTGTGTGTGTGCGGACCCATACACGATTATGTAGATTAGCGCCACTGTTACGTAACAGAAATCGGCAGATGAAAGATTCACTTGGTTGTTTAATTTCACACTTGATGAGTAGGCTGGCACTCCAGAGAGTTCTATTTGTATACAAGCCATTAAAAAGTCAATTTGCCATAATAGTGTATGCCCCATGTAAACAATAAATACAGAATGTATTTGGTGCCACGAGCAGATCAATCTTGCTTATAAGAGCGTTTGCAGATCATTTCAATGCCGTTCCGCAGCACAAAAAGCAACCGAGATGATGAAACGTCAACATTGAGGCGCTCAAGTACAAACAAGAGCCAGTTGGCTTGAACCGCACACACGCCTCTGGGTACCATCCCGCCCGCTGGTTGCTTTGCCTTTGCCGGCCTCTTTATGACCACGTTCCCGAATGCTTTCGTTTAATGCGCTCCCTCTCCGGTCACATATCGCGCTGGCGGCCACGCCCTGTCAAATGGCCGCCAATGAAGGCACCGTAACCACACGAGCGCACCGGTCTTATTTGGGGCAAATCTGCAAAGATGCTCATTCTACATCCAAATGAATAAACAGCGGGAGACTGCATTTGCAGTTCATTCAGATTTCTTTTGGTGGAG